TTGGTCTGCAGTTGCAGTAGGTCACCCTCTGGCATGCGGGTGGGGAGCCGGTGACCCACAGCTGGTGATGTGGCTGTGCTGGACACAGCAGGAGAGCCTGCCCCCCCCCCCCGGCCCAAGGCCCCTCCACAGTGCATTCCACTCAGAAAGCTTAACATCCTGCTCATGTTAAAGGAGAACTACTTAAAAGAATTCCTTCCTTGATCTCAGAGCATATATGGAAGGGTACATTTGGAGCTGAGAGGAAATAAATTATTAACTAACACACAAAGCTTCAGCATATTTATTTATTGTGCCACAGAGCCAATGATTAGACACAATGTGACAGTTCTAGAGTTTTGGTGACGTGTTCAGCAATGTCACTGAAGATCCTGACAGTCTCCGTCTTTCTTGTGCGGTGTTGGCACCCCTTCCCACCGAGCTTCAGGGGCTGAGGGGGAGGCCAGCGCCCATATACAGACAGCACTACAATCACACACATGGGGGGAGTGGAGATGTCCCTTCTCTGTGTGGCTTTTTATTAGAGAGGAAAACATTTCAAAGAGGGTCCCAGGAGACTCCCCATCGATTTCCACAGTTAGGATTGGTTCATCCACCCTCCCCCCTGGTTTTAAGAACAGCTGAAATGCAAGGGCCTCACACCTGTAGCCTCCTTACTGGGAGGTGGGCTTTGCCAGCAGAGAAGGGGATGCACGCAGGAAGGCGGCCAACCATACCTGCCCACTCCCCCCCCCATGCCCAAGGCCCCCACTCTCGCCAGTCACAAGGTACCCAGGTGCCCTAGAAGTCACAAGACGTTAACGCTACTGGTGGCCAGGTGTTGACCAGTTCTTGGGGAAAGACAAATAAATGGCTTTCTGTTGTCTCTTTTGTCACCTTAATTCTATACTTTTACTGAAGCAGCTTCTGGCCTCTCCTGACACCAGATGACTAACTGGCCATCCCTGCCCCAGGCTCCAGATCTCTCAATGCGGAAGAAGTTTATGACTTAAAATGATGGGCCTTTGTACCAGCTCATACAGTTCATGTCAAAGTTCTGCCTTTTCATCAATTGCATGACCAGAACGAGGTATCTAATTTCTTTATGCCTGAATTTCTCATTTTTTCTTTTTGTCGAATTCATTGGGGTGAGTTTCTCACCTTCTAAATGAGGATAGTAAAAGCACCCGACTCCTAGGTTTGCTATGATAAGCACACGATAGGACGCAGAACGGTTTATGCCACACAGTGGGTCTTTAATAAGTACTATTTTGTCAGCTGTTATTGTTCCTCACTTTATACCCAAGGAAATCTAAATTTCTTAAGTGACCATTTAAGATCCTGTAGGAAATGACCCCAGTGAAATTGTTCCAAACATATTAAAATGGACTATGGTCCCTATTAAGCCGTAACATGAGGGCCTGGGCTAACATCTCCGAGTCTCTGTTTTTGTGAAGGTTTGATGCAACATGTACATGAGACACAGGAGAGTTCTCCCCTGTACCATTTGACTATTTGACTTTGGAGTTTCTAATGTGCAATTTTTATCTGAGTTTTTCTAATGGTTCCCAAGTGTCCCTTATCCTTTCCTTTTTGCATTGCATTCTGCTGTCTTGTCTTATTCTCCTTTAATTCAACAGTGTTTCTGAGACCCTCATGTGTGAGCATCTCCTGGAGACTCGGAGTCAGCAGGTCAGGGTGGAGCAGGAGAAGCAGCATTTCTCATAAGACACGGGTGCTGCCCAGGCCGCTTTTCTGAGGACCCTGCTTTGCAAACTGCTGAGCTAGAGGAGAGGTTATGCACTTTTGTTGCAGAGGCCAGATGTTGAAATACTTGACACTCTGTGGGCTCTGTTGCAACTTGGATCAACCCTCCTAGACAAAAGCGGCCACAAAGACAATGCCTGTGCCCATGGGTGTGGCTGCGTCCTGGTGACACTTTACTTACAAAACAGCTGCCTGGGCAGAGTTGGCCCTGGGCCTGTTGTTCGCTGCCCTGACCTGGGACAGGACCCCTGCATTTCCTTTGGTGGGGGGCGGTCTTTCAGAGCATTGACATTTTTGAATGGTCCAGTTCAGTTTTCTTACAGAATATTCTACAATCTGGGTTTGATTGTTTCCTTCTGGTTAGAGTTCTGTTCTATGTTGGCAAGAATACCACATAAGTGATATTTTGTACTATAGGAAGAATTGTGAAAGACTTTGAAATGGACCAGATACATTGGGTAACTTCAATGGAGAGCTGGGCATTGTCTGGTGCACCCTCTGGGCCATCCCACCTCATGTAGCGTTGTGCCTTCCACTGTCCTTGAGCTATTTCACAACTCTGTAGTGTTTAGACTACTATCTATAATTCTTCTCTTTAGAAATGCAAATGGAGTCCATGGGACACGCAGTTGACCTTTGACCTATGGATGTGGACCGGTCTCCTGTCTGTCAGGTGTCCTGAAGTATGCATTGGATTCTCCTTAGAGTCTACTTTGAACCAGTTGTGTTAATTAATGAGTTAAATAATATCTCTGACACATGTCCATTTCACATCTGCCTTGCAAGTCATGATCATACCCTTTTAAATGTTATCCTTTAGTGGTACTGTTCATTGCATCACTCTAGGAAGCGGAAAGTCTTAGTTTTTGTTGTTGTTGTTGTTTTACAATACTGGTGATATTAATTTAAATCACTTGATTAAGGTGGTTCCACCATGCCTGTCCACTGTGAAGATATATATGCATATTTTCTCTTTATTTTTCTCAAAAAATACCTTCAGACAAAGTGAATATTCCAGTTTGCGATAATTTTCCACCTGGTGGTTTGAGAACCCGCTGTAGGTCTTCACCTGCATTGACGGTCACCTTGGATTGGAAAAATTTGAACCCGAAGGGGCACAGAACACGCTACCTCTACACCTGCTCCTTTGGTGCGTGTAGTATTTTGAGCTGAAGGCCATCAAGACCCAGTGGACTCAAGAAAAACCTTTATCTCTAAAAGATAAAGACTGTATAAAAGAATTTATACCAGGGGGCCTGGTTTAGGAAAAGAGCTATTAGCAGAGATAACTTTAATCTGAAAGACAGACCCACAGTTCAGGGCAAATATCTGCTTATCCAGCTCCTGCCTTCTTGGGTCTTGTGACCTACATGCTCCTCTCGTCGGAGGCCCCAGCCCCCCCACCCCATCCCATTTCTTAGCTCAGGATGGCATACGAGCTCCAATTGTCTGATCTTTGGGTCTCATATTTTCTCGGCCTCTGATATGGATGAAGTTAAATTGTTTTCCTCCCATTAATCTGTTTTATGTCAATTTAATTATACCAGCCAAAAAACCTAGAAGGGTAGAAGAAAAATTTCCTACCTGGATGAATCCTTTCTTCAGGCCCCCAGGCGGACACCTGAGCACTGCCTATGAGCCCTGCACTTTCCTTTCTTGGCTTGTGTTACTCTTGGGCACTATGGCAGAGTTGCTAAGTAAGCCATAGGTTCCAGGACTGTCTGGCATGGGCTTAAACCCTGGCTTTTTCACTTAGTAGCTTCAGGACCAGAAAGTCACTTAATCTCTTTGTGCCTCAGTTTCCTTATTTACAAGTTGGTGCAATAAAGATACCTCTCTTACAGGATTGCCTGAGGATTAAATGAGCTAAATAAGAGCACCAGTATGGTATGGGACACATAATTACCTGCTCAATAAATGTTAACTATTATTGAATCATAATTATTTGTATGTGTTTGAATGCCAGCTTTGCCACAACTCAAATTGTCTTTGGGTAAGTTACTGCACGTTCTGTGCCTCCCACTCTCATCTGTAACAAGGTTCCCAGCTCATAGATTTCTGGCTTCAAGACTGTTACTTGCTAGCAGCATCTGGGAGGGAGCAAGCATGAAAAAAAGACGAGCTGTTACCATTGTGATTATACTGTACATTTCATTTGCTCTAAGAGAAGGGATATTGAGTGCAAGCCTCTTTACTTTCACTGTGCCTGGTTTAGAGACCTCACATGGCATGGAGTCCCAAAATTTTGGGTGCACCAAAAAGTTTGTTTAGTTTATTCCGGACCATGGCTCTAGTAGTGCTTAGCTGTCTTTTAACTTCATTCCAGACAATTTTGTTAGATTATATTGTGACAGCTGTTGTATCAGTGCGTGTTAACCCCCCCCACCAAAACTGGTACATTTTTGTGTAACCATTTTGACATTGAAGATGGAAGATATGCACTATTTTTTAGCATATTATGCTTTATTTTTTCAAGAGAGGTAAACATGCAACTGAAACACAAAAAAAGATTTGTGGTATGACTGATCAAATGTGTCAGAAGTGGTTTGCAAAGCTTCTCGGTAATGCTTTGCTGTGGGGCTGTCTCATGCATTGGAAAATGTTTAGCAGCAGCCCTCTCCTCTACCCACTAGAATCTAATCGTGTGAGACAGCCGACAGACTCAAACTATAAATAAAAAATATGTCTTTCATCTTATGGGGGGAAAAAAACTAAACAGACTTTGGTCAACCCAATACGCAAATAGAGGAATTAACAAAGATTTGCTGAGTGGCACTGGCTTGAAAGCTACACTTTTGCTTCTTTTACAGCTCATGGTCTTGTATTTGTGCCTCCTTCCTTTTTGTAGGGAGCAGACACACAAGAAATAACATTCCCACAGGAGGTTGTGCGAGGCACCCCTGGGCAAATGTTGGGAAGCCCCCGGCACGGCTCCAAAGTAATGCAGCGGTGCAGTGCCATTCACGGCTGGGTACTTGAGGCCTCTAGTGTCTCCTCCCCGTTTGTCAAAGTAGGGAAATGGTTACTCCAGGTTGGGAAGCACCCGTCCAGCAACTCAGAGAAACTGAGGCCAGGCCAGGTCCCCAAGCCAGGTAGCCCCCAGCACCTGCACACCCCGCCGCGTGGCTTCGTACCCCGCGCGTGGGGCGCTCACGTGACCACGCCTGGGCGGAGCCCGGCGGGCGGGGGATCACCTGAACAAGGGAGTCACGTGAGCGGGGCGGGGGAGGGGGCGGTGCCGGGCTATGGTCACGTGACGCGGTTCCGGGGCCGCTGCAGCCGCCGCCGAGCCCAGCCGAGCCGCGCGCCCCTCCGGCTCTCACTCCGCTCCCGCTCCTCTCGCGCTCTGCTCCGCCTCCACCCTGGCGGCGCGACTATGTCCCGGGCGCGGCCCCCGGCAGCCGCTCGCCGCTAGTCCCGCTCCCACCGCACAGCCCGGGCCCGGGGCGATGGGGGCCACCGCCAGCCGGAGCGCCCACCTGGGGCCCGTGTCCGCCGGTCGCCCGTTGGGCTGCCTGTTCTTGCTGCAGCTGCTGCTGCTCGTCTGCGCCCCGGGGGCCGCGAGGGCCCAGGGCGCCGAGTTTCCTGAGCTGTGCAGGTGGGTGGCCCGCCCGGGCGCAGGCTTCGCTCGCGGTGTCCCCGGCGTACAGCGGGGCTGGGTGGGGGGGGCGGGGGCGCTTGGGGGAAAGGACTGGGGTCCTGGAGTCGCTTCTAATCCAAGCTTGGGTTCCCTCTGCCCGGGATGGAAAGTTGCCCGCTTGGTGGTGAAGGGAGAGACACCGAAGGGGGGGACGCGCGCGCGCGCGCACGGGCGGGGGCGCGGGGCGCGCGGCGTCCTGGCGCTGGCCTGGGGGCTGCTGCCTAGCCACTTGTGGCTGTCACTAAGTCCGGGGTTGCTTTGTGTGCCAGCGGCGGCTGCCGCGCGACCCGTCCGGGTGACACGCCTAGGAAACCCTCACGCCCAGCGCTTGCCCTCTCGCAGCGGCGCGCCTGCGAAAGTTGGAGGACGCAGGAACTACAGCTTTGCTTTGTTCCCGCTCCACGTTTCCTCCGAGTTCCACGGGCGCAGCTGGCCGAGGCCCCTGAGTGTGAGAAGGCTCGCCCGCACAGATGGCCTTGGAGTTGGGGTTTTGGTTTCATTTACTGATTGAGTTCTTCCCCGTGGGTTTTCCATTTTTTCTTTTAGTAGAATTTCCACAGAAAGGGTTTTTTTGTTGTTGGAGGAATTTGGGGTGGTCATTCTGTGTTGGCTTCCAAGACTTCGCCCTTCGCTTCTCTGAGTCTAACTTCCTGTCTAATGGCTCACATGATGTCATTGTCTCATGTGGATCATTCTAGTGGAGTCTTGCTCTGGGGACCATGATTGTAGTCGCTGGTCCCATCCAGAGCTTTTCATTTTCTGCGAGGGCAGGGCATCCTGGGGCTGGGGAACTGCCTATGCTGAGAATTTTCTTACCGACCTCTGGACTATTTAGGATCATGGAAAATTAAGCTTAAAAAAAAAAAAAACTGGTAGAAAGGAAGCAGGATGGAAAGTTCAGTAAGGCTAGTGAGCAGTCCGCAGTCTCTCCTGGCACTAGCAAGTTATTTCTCAGAATAAAGTGAAGTTGTGTCCACCGTGAGCTGAACTTTGAGTTCGTGGTGAGCTTAAGGGAGTCCATCAGAGATGGATTTATTAGCACCCCCCACTCCCATTCAGAACTTGCAGCAGAAATTATTACGTTAAAGAGTAAGGCTGAGCTCACAGAAGAAACTGTTTAGAAAGACCCATACTATTTCTTTTCTCCTTTTGTAGGGGGGAGGGCTGCTGGAGGAGACTTGACTGCACTTCGTTTCTAGGCCAGTTGTAGGCCAGTTAGCTGCCCTGGGATGTGTGGTTACTACAGACTGCAGTTTATACATACAAGGTCTGGCGGCAGCAGCCGACATGGTAAGAAGTTTCAGAATAATGGCTGCTGCGGCCAAGGCCAACCTTATCGTTAAGAGATTCACCCAGTTGGGCTGGGGATGTTCAAGTCTTGCTCTTGCTAGCAAATTGGAATTTACTTGTTAATAGTTAAGGTTAAAGTGGACCTCCAGGGCAGACCCATACTGTGTGACTTGAGTGGGGGAGGGTGTCGTACTTTTGTTTCAGTTTAGCGGTGGCGGCGGCCTGAACCTGCTGCATTCCTCCTCGTTAACCTCATCTCCAGGCAGAGCTTGGACTCTGGGTTTAGTAGAAAGTGGCCTTTGTATCTTTAAGTGCTTCTCCCCATTGTTGTAGGTGGGCATAACTTAGCACGTGCTGGAGCACTCTGATGGGTGACGTGCCTCGTATGATAAATGTGCCCTCTGCGGCCTGAAGATATCTTTCAGGTCGATGTGTTTACTTGTTCGTAGGACAGCAAATCCCCCAATCAGGTCAGAGGGCTTGCACACATTTCCCCCTTGTCTGTCCTGCTCTGTGGCTTCACACCGAGGCCTTTCCAGAGCCGCGTTAATCTCTACTCTCAACCTAGTACCTGCCAAGTGAGGCTTTTCTGTTTGTTTCTGTTTCGAATGGATAACTTGGCCTAAATACCTGTTAAAACATTTTTTTTGGGGGGGGGAGGTGGGGTGTATATGTGTGTGTCAAAAATCTGTATTTTTTGAGATAACGTTGGCTAAAAGTTCCTTAACTTGAGCACTTGAAGTGTGCTCGAGTTAAGGAAACGTGAATGGGAAGCCATTCACATTCATGGGAATGTGAGCTGATCATTTGTTTGAAAAAAACCCCATAAGAAAAGTTCTCCGGGACATCACCGAAGCAGACATGTTAAGCTGCCTCCTCAGTCCATTCCTGGGCGTCCATTTGGCTGAAATGTAAACGGCTCACCCCCGTCGCCAGTGGGAGTAGGAAAAGGCTGCTTCACCTATGGCAGCAGCCACGGTGGATGCAGGGTGCCTGCCAGATGCTCTTCGGCGGTCATTTTCCATTGACGTTGTTTTTCAGTGTGGTTTGGTGCCCAGGGCGGTCCGCAGAAACTCGTCATCCAGGCCACAGATTTGGGGTGCCCAGATACTGCCCAGCTTTAACTAGAGTCTAAACAGTAAATCCTCCTTGCTTCCCAAACACGGAGCTGGAGTTCTGGGGTACAGCCTTGCCTCTAGAATCGTAGAGGGGCTTTTCCTCTGCAGTCCCTTAGGACCAGGAGGAGGGAAGTCTGAGTCTGCTGCAGGGGGCCCCCAGATGGGGGCAAACCTTTGGGGTGAGCAGCAGCCCTGACCAATCCTGGGATGAGGGTGCCGGGCAGGGGCACAGTGCCGGGCACTGGCACTTGCTGGGCGGGACTGTTTCAGCAGCAGCTTGAACTACACTCATGTCCATGGAGAGCACAGGCTGCTGCTAGCTCTGCACGGAAAAGCAGGGAAGACCCAGGCAAGTTTCCCAAAGTGCATCTGGCTCTACATGGCACTTATTTAAAGCGCTTGTTCTTTGAAGCAACTCAGTTCTATTTCCTAGGCATCACGATTGTGCCAGGTGGGCACTGTGCGTGGAGGAAGCGGGTGAGTCTTAACCACTCAGCTCTTTCTCGGGAGGCGGTGTGCCAGTGGAAAGAACTTGCCTCCTGAGGCCAGCGTGACCACAGAGGTCTCGAGGCCGAAGCAATGGCGTGCTGGTGAGGAATGTGAGTGTCATTGGACCAGGCCCAGGGCCGGGAGAGTGGCAAGGGCAGAGGCCTGGCCGTGCAGAGTCACCACAAGTGACCGCAGTGCCCTGCTTTTACTCATTGCTGGGTGATTTGCACTTTCTAAGATACTGTCTTACACACACAAAAGGTTAGCTTCCACCCTTTATTTAGGTGTTAACGTCCTTAATGAGCGAGGCTTAACAGTTTGTACTAGTTATAAAACAATGCATCAGGGCTGGCTTGATTTAAGTAGTTAAGTACTTTAAAATTTATTCAGAGCAAGGTCTCCCCCGTCCCCCAATTGTCTGGGTATAAATCCTGGAACTTTTTATTACATTGAGGACAAGAGGATAATGAAGCCAGCTGGGAGTTGAGGTTGGTTTAGTTGCTGTCTCTAGATTTTTTTCCTCCTGCAGTTTTTTTTCCTGGAGAAACAATGCTTATATGCTTAATTTGGGCCACATGTTAAACTTGGACCCCATCCATTTGTGTGTGTACATTTCTTGCAACAATAAGTGTGTAGAAGTCCAAGATGGTTAATTATGGATACATTAGACCACATGCATTAATTCTTAGAACGACCTCCTGACAAGATCCCGGCAACAAATTCCTGATTGGGCTTCACATCCCTTATCAGCGTTTCACAGAGAAATCTTTAAAAGCTGGGGTTGAGAAAAATAATGCGGACATTCTCGTCTGTATTTTGATCTTGGCATATAAAACTGAATTGTGCAGGGCAGACAGAATTCAACAGGGTCCCAGGACTGGGACGAGCGGCAGAAACTAGCCTGTACCTTTGCAGGTACTGTTCTGTTCTTGCTATTCAGCGTCCGGGGACCGAGACTTCCTGGGAGTGCCCCCCGTGGGTCCTGAGTGCTGTGTGGCGAGGTGGAGGAGCTCAGATTGGGAGTGCTCGTGGGTCCTTTGTGTTTTCCTCGTGGCCAACTCCTGAGCAGTGAGGGACAGAGGCCTGAGTTTATGCTGAGTGTCTCCTCTCCCTTAGTCCTGGCAAGGTGACACAGGCTCCCTTTACTCTCCACGCTGTTCTTAAGCATTTCTGAAGCTGAGGGGAGAACTGGGAGGGGCCGGAGCTGGAACGGACACACCTCCAGTGGAATGTCACACCGGGATCCCAGAAGATCACGTTGCCCTTGGCCTTGACTGCTCTTGCCAGGGAAGGAGCTGCCACGAACACCTTCATCCCTTGTTTTTGTTAACTTTAAATAATGTCATCTTATTTTTGATTTTGTTTTTAATCCAAGAGTAATGTACATGTTACTTGCTTTTGGCTATTATGAATAAAGCTGTTGTGAATATTTGTGTACCAGATTTTGTGTGGATATGTGCCTTCCTTTTTTGGGCGGGGGGTGGGGAGGGAGCGTTTAACTTTATGGGAGCCGTCAAACTGTGTTCAGAAGTGGTTGTCCATTTTGCATTCCCAGTCTGAGGCATCCATATGTCCTGCATCTGCCAACACTTGATGCTATCAGTCTTTGTAATTGTAGCCTTTCTTAGGGGTTCGCCGTGGTGTCTCTGTGTGGTTTTAATTTTCATATCCCTGCTGACTCAGGATGTTGAGTATTTTTTTCTTACATTTATTGTGATGCCTGACGATTTCGAACATCATTCATGAGGTGAATTGACTGTTTGGACATCTTTTGTAGTGTCTGTTAAAAACAATGGTTTGCCCCGCATCCTTTAAAAAATTTTTTTGGGGGGATCACCTTACTGGTGTTAAGAATTCTTTATGTATTCTGGGTACACATCTTTTCTTAGGAATATGTAATGAGTGTTATTTTTTCCCTGTCTTTGGCTTGCCCCTTTTCATTTTCTTAATATAGTCTTTGGAAAAAAATATATATATAGATTTTGATAAACTTCATTTGATGTTTTTTAACGGTTTGTGCTTCTTGTAGCCTAAGAAATGTTTGCCAATCTCGAGGTTCCT